AAAACCCTTCGAATCATCAATTATATATTGCCATTATTCGATGTCACGTGCCGCTACACAAAGTGCGTTCTTCTTCCAAATCTTTGGCGCAAAAGGATGAACTGATGTCGAAATATCATGGAGACATGCTTGATAACCTAGAAGTATCTTATCAATTGGTACTTTGAACATACTAATAGTTAGCAACGTGAGAGGAAATTTGTTTGGGGAGGTGGATGTAAACACTGTCAATTGGTATAGTCGAGGAAGATGTTTTCCCATTCGGCAGTGATGAATTTTGTAATTGCAACTCCTATAGCAGTCAATACAACCTCCGTCAATCTTTATTGAAGTAAAAGGATGCGGGCATAGTTGAGGTAACCAATAACCTATACGGCTATGCCATTCGGATCTCATTTAGCGAAAGTTGTCCCATTAGTTTCCTTCTTATAAGTTTGCAGCAAACTTAAACTGTTGGCTGAATCAATTGCTCTTATTAATGTTGATTGATTTAGCTTTTCCTTTTTAGATGATCATGCAGATTGCATATATATACAAAATGGTTTAAGCTAGATGACTACCCGATCTTCATTCACGTTCACATGCTTTTGGATTTTCTACCGACCATTATGCTCGTAGCTGATTTTCATTCAGATATAGAGGGAATATAGGGATTGTAAAATATGTGTTTATTTGATCTTAACCGAAAATTATGATTTAAAACCCTATTGCTTCTTTATTACAAACTAGCATACGCAATTGAACCTAACAATCTAATATGTGTCCCTAGTTCTTGGCCTCAAATATCCTATTAATAGAGTTTAGGGAATGAATGATTTAAATGTATAGTATTACAAATTTTGGGTAAAAATTATAATTTATAAAATTAGTACAAAAGTGACAAAGAATTTTATGTAAAGATAGCTGGTGGATTGATTTGTGTAGTGTCATTGATCCACTTCCCAAAAGAATAATTTATAAACCTAATTAAAACTATTAGCTAGTGGTAAGTAGGGTCTTTCCAATGGGACGGCAGTCAACCGCTCTAAATCTGATTAAAATACAGAAAAGAAAGAAAACAGTTTAAACAGATTGTCACTTGGGAGAGTGAGAATAGTCACTTGACAGAGTGAAGAGGCAGGAGGGTCAATCACCTTCCTACCTTTATGATCCAATTTTGATTCAATATTCCTGTAGTGTATGATTAGTTGCACGATCAGGTACTTCTATATCTTTATAATTCCTTCCAGACAGAATAAAGAGTCCTAGATTACCATCCCAGTCAGAGAGTTTTTTAATCTAAGCCATTGAGTTCTTAAGCCCTATATAATCGCCTATGCCATTCACCTAACTTCCGTTGATGTCTGGAACTGCAGGGTAGATTTCCTTAATTGTCATAGACTAGATTAAGCAGTTTTAACGTTATGCGCCCCCTTCTAGATCTGCATAACCATGCAAGTACATTTAATCAAGTGGCCAAGTTAATTAAAAGGTTAATTAAATCACTTATCTAGGCACAACACCTTATCAAGGAAACTGAATCAAAACCTTCACATAAAGATAGTAGGGATTGAACCATTAACTGAGTTAGCTACTTATGTTTATTTATTTAAACATAAGAGCAACAGAGTACAAAACATAAGACATGAATCTAAATCCAAAGGTTAGAGGAAACAAAGGAAGGATGGTAGCAGGGACAGTTTTCTGTTTGTTCACTGTGGTGACTGGCGTTCGCCACTTCACAAAGTGACAGTCTGCCTCCTTGTTCCTGCTACTACCTTGTTTCTAACCTACTAACTAACTATCTAAATACTGTCTTTTGGACTAAATCTAACTTCACAATCTGTTATTTTTCTAACTGCTATTGGTGGACTATTTATAGAGATTTTGGAGAGGCTTGGATCGGTGGAGTTCTGGCCTTCTGTTCAGCAAAGTTGAGGAGACAGCAAGTTGCAGCAACCAAAGGCAATTGTTTATTCTGCAACTTGTCCAATTGGCAAGTTGCAGCCTTTTCTGGGTAGCTCCTTCCTTCTTCAGTAGCAATCAGCCATCTTCTACTCATTATTGCTCCTTCTCTTCAGTCTTCTTCTCCGGCGCCTTCTCAACATTTGCAGCCACATCTCCATTTCTTCATTCTTTATTCCTCAGCAGCCCAACTAGCAGCAGTAGCAAGAAGCAGCACAGCAGCATGCATCCTTCCATCATTGTGTTTCCAGCCCCCAATTCAGCCTGAATCTTCTGCCCTTTTCTTCCTTGTTTCCTGGGTCACTTGCTTCACCATTGCTCACCCTTCTGCAGCAGTCAATCCATCAACTCAGCAGCAGCATCAGTTGGTAAGTAGCAGACTTGCAGCTGCTGCTTATCACTTATTCTCCCTCTTCTCTTCTTCCACTTGCAACAGCAACAACTTCCAGTGATGGCAAAACAATTTCCTTCCTTGGGTACCAAGATTTCAGCTCGTGGCTCCTCATTGATTGACAGCAGCAGCAGCTACTGCAGGAGCAATTAGGCAGCAGGGCAGCTGTCCTTCTTCCTCTCAATTGAGTGTGCTGCATTAGATTCCTCCAAGTTATGATCATTTGCTGCCAAACCTCCTCAGCAAGGATTTCTTCACTTGTTCTAGCTCTGATCGACCTTCCAACAGCTCAATTTTCAGCAGCATCAATTCCAGTCCCTTTTGATGCCTTTTGTGCAATTGGGTGCTCTTTTATGCTAAGTTTCCACATTGGCCCCTTTGAGATACCTGAACTGCAAAATCACCCCTAAAGTAAATTAATCCTAACTAATTGACACTAAATTATAAGTAAAAATGAGCAAGAAATGCCTGCAAAAAGGGTATATATTTTTGTGTCATCAGGTACCCCCAAACTTGAAGTGTTGCTTGTCCTCAAGCAACAACCCCAAACTCAGAGTTTTACTGATCCTCTAGCAAACAAATTCATGCTGCATTCCTACTGACCTAGACACAGAAGGACTGACTCAGAGAGAAGAAGTGATATTTTTAGATTTTCATAGATAAAAGTAATGACAGTGATCCAAAAAGAATGTGGCTAAATGGACAGAAGTAAATGCAACATTGTATCAATGTTAGTCTCAGATTCAAGTCCCTCACTGGATAGATTATACACCATTGTTCATTACAGAAAAGCAGTATTAAGTTCTTCAGTGTATGTGTGTGTGCATATATCACAGCCAAAGTTCAAGTTTTCACGTAGGATCCATTCTAAGAATTAATCAGTTTAAGAACAAATGAACATCATTCTGATCATTACCTATTTCCTGCATGCCATCAACTAGGGTATTCTTACTGAGATATTTAGATTCTAAGGACTTCCTCACAGATTTCGCAACAACTTTGGCTGCATCTTATTTCTCCCTCAACCCTTTTTCTCCTTGTCCATATGGCTTTTCTTCTGGATCTTTCCCACTCAGGCCCCTACCCAGAGCATATTTCCACTCAGTTATCTATTCATAGTGGCTCAGCAACTTTGGGCATTTCACCCAGAGCATATTTCCACTAAATTTCTATAGTGATTTCTCATAGTGGTTCAACAACTTAGGGTAGTTTATTTTATTTTTCTGATTTTTCCTCACCAAGCCTGAGGATTCTCTCTACTTGTTTGCCAAAGCTAATCACTCAGGGGTATTACTGCCTCATTGGACAGTCTTCCTAACTTCCCTCATTTCAGAATTTTTCTTTTCACCTCATTTCAACCGCCTACCATTCCCCTTTCCAAAGGTTTTTAGGCTTTTACAGACCACCATGTGTTCTTACAGAGTCTGCTATGATGCGAAGGACTGCCTTAGTCTTCACTCAGATTTACAGTCCCCCAAGTTTCAGACAAATGGACTCCAGTATAAGATCACAACAATATACTTAGGCATTCAGATTTTAGCATTAAGTTCAGAACTCTCACTTTGGCAAGTCACATATTGTGCTTGAGAAAGTGAAGAACTACAGGACTGACTTCAAGTGAATCAACAAGTGTTCAAAATTTCCCACAAATTTTTGAATCATCATAGACTTTTGGCACCGTATATACATCAACTAGTTCACAGTTGCACACAATTTTATTTTTTTTGTTGTTATTTTTTAAAATTTGATCCTGTCATACTTTAAAACATATAAATCATATGAATCTCTCCCCCAAACTTAAAATAAGCATTGTCCCCAATGCTTACGACAGAGATTCAGGGGAAGAACAAATAGAAACACTTTAGCATGCAATTTGACTGAAATTAGAAAAATCATTATACAAAGTGGACTCAATCTAGCCTAAGGACTCTAGATCCATAGATTCAAAACAGAAAATGCTAAAACAAACCTAATTAAAAGAAACAGAAGATATATGAAAAGAAAAGAAAAAGAAAAACAGAATACTTCCCTCGGTGATTAAGGATTCAGCCCTTGAAAGGGATGTGGTGAACTATCATCCATTTCTTTGCAAGGGCTTGAGCATTCCAATTTACTATGAATGTGCTTGAGCTTCCTGTTGATCCTTTGGAATTCTTCATGGATGTAATTGAGCATATAGCTCTGCTTCTTGGAAAAATCACTCCTTCTGCAATGTGGGACTAGTGTTGGCTCGTCATAAAGCTTGGCAGGTGGCTCCCTTGCTAATGTTTCATAACTCCAAACCGCTGGTATAGGCAATTGTATATCCTCTGGAGTGAATGTCACACCAAACCTGGCGATCAACATTGTTACCAACACGTGCAAGTACCAGCTTTTAACTTTAACATAAGTGATGCATCGAGTCAATTGCTGTCTCATAATGGTGCCCAGAGAAATTGAAGTGGAGGTTTTAATTGCATAAATTAGTACCGCCACTTCATAGGTTACTCTTGTAGTGTACCTTGTGGGCATAATGTTGGAGCAGATGAAGTGGAGCCACAACTTGTTTTCTGGAAGGAGCTTGCTATAGGGAAAATGGTAAGGGGTTCCCTTTTTTGTGAGTTCCCATCTCAAATCATCATCCTCTTCTTCGCAAAACTCGGTGAGGAGAACATCTGCTAAGATTTTATCCTTGTGCAGATCCGTCAGAGCCTTTTCTAGGTCTATTTCCACCGTTTGCAGGCTCCACGCGGTTCTGATTGCGGCACGGCTGATGTCCACATTTCTTCCTCTTACATACACCACATCTCCGTCTGCCTCTGTCAGATTGTTATAAAATTCCCTTACAGTATTCATCCTTGGCTCCATTAAAAGATTAGCCAGCCTTGTCCATCTATATAGTGAGATGTACAATGCCGGTGCGGTCTCAGTGTCCACACCTCTTTCCACTATCAACGGCCAATTCCTGGTTCTCTCAAATAAATTCCAGGCAGCCTCAGAAATGAACAATGCAGGATCAATTTTGGTCCTTAATGCCTTCTGTGCAGCCTTTTGTTGAGTGGTCGGAAGTTGTGGCAGTGGCTGAGGTGCTTCTTGGATAACCCCAAAGCCTAGCTTTTTGTTGCTGATCTTCTTTGCAGCTACTTTCTGCCTGGGGTCCATGGATTCAAGATTTTAGAGGAAAATTTTGTGAGATGTTGAGGAATTCTTCTGCCGAAAATTTAGGGTTTTGGGATCCCTTTTAAAAATTTTTGGGGAGGCACATAATAGTGATTTTCCCTATTGTGCCCTTCAACCTTAAAGTTAATTCACTATCCGGCCCCAAAGTTTAATCGAACTTCCCTTAGTGCCCCTTCTCCCGTCCTGGGCTGCCTATTTTTACTTCTTCGAGGGGCTTTGTCACTCGAGAGTGTGATGCTAAATTTGCTATCCTAAAAAATGATTGATAAGAGTACTTCTACCCTTTCTGACATTTTACCACAGATTGATTGGTTACCAAAAGATAATTAAAATAAAAGTAAAGCGAACAAAATAACTTACCTTGGGTTGCCTCCCAAACAGTGCATCGGTTTAAAGTCTCATGCCAGACTCTTAAATATCCTTACTCCAATTCCTTGAGATACAACACATCACTGTGTTGTAGGTCAGGTTTCTCCAAGGGATTGTACAGCTTTACTCTCTGGCCATTGACACAGAATGTGTTCCCAGTTTCTAAGTTGGCAAGCTCAATTGCTCCTTGGCTTAAGACTTTTGAGATTACAAATGGCCCTGACAACCTGGACCTGAGTTTTCCTGGAAAAAGTTTCAATTTAGGGCCTGTTTGGTTGCTTGGAAAATTGAGGAAAGTAAAGTGAACATTCCTAAGAATTTAATTCATAGAAAAATTAATATTTTACTTTACTTTATGATTCCTAAGAATATGATTCTGGAGAATCTAAATACTTTCCTATGTTTATTTACATGTTTGGAAAATACGCTTGAAAGTGAGTTTTTGTCGCTTGTAAACCTCGACATGTCGGTTTTGAATTTCATTTCAAAATCTTAAAACTATCCGTTCAAAATCTAACTACGTGAACAACATAAAATATATGTGTGTAGGTGTATAATTATATAATTTAACTAAAGTCATATAATTTTTAGCTAGATGAATCAAGTTAAAACTTTATTGAATATAATCGGCTTAAAATTTTGACGCTAGATATATTTACCATAGCAATTTTAATATTAGAAGTTATTTAATGAAACTTGATGTTCTTTGTCAAAAAATTATAAATTTATTTATATAACATTTATACATGAACGATCAATAATTTCTTTTTTTTTTTCAAAAAAAAGCTTATTTCGATAAATAGTCTAGATGTACAAGTTCCCTAACATGTCTAGGTAGACTACTCATAGTATTGTATCTGATCGATATTCCAAGAGAAGCTTCGCCTGCTAATCCATTAGCCATTGAATTTGCCTCTCTAAAAATATGCTGAACGGTATAAGCCCGCATCTCCATAATATGAAAAATTTCCATCAAGTGAAAAGAATGCTTCCATGGAACATTCTTCATAGACAGTAAAAGGCTAGCCAAACCTTTATTGTCTGTTTGAATATCCACCTTCTCTAAGCCAAGCTGACAACACTTCCTTACCCCAAACAGGACGCCATAAACCTCCGCATCAAAACTATCACCTCCTCCTAAGTAACCACTTTCACCGTATACAAAGCTACCATTTCTTTCCCTGATGCAAAAACAATATCCAGAATCCGAATTAATAAATGAGCCATCAGTGTTAAGAACATAATCCCTACCCTCTGAAGCCTTCCAATTAACAGCCATACAAGTTCTCATCCTCACCTTTTGAAGCTGAAAACCAAAATTATTTTTAATCCAATTCCTCTCTTCTACATTTCGCGCCTTCAAATCATGAGTCATTAAAACCTTCCTTATGTCTACCTTAGTTGCCAAAATAACCTTCTCCCTATTGAATTTCTCTCCTTCAAAAAGCATTTTATTCCTCATTTTCCAAATCTTCCAAAGAATTAATGACGGAATAATCTTGATAAGAGCTTTCAAAGCTGAAGAGAAACTACCACGATTTCACCACTCATATAAAACCACAAGCAAGTTAACTTCCTCCCTCCACGGCATGCCAAACAAATGAGAAAAGAATTTCCAAATTTCCTTGACCTCCAAACACTCAAAAAGACAATGCACCATTGAGTCACTTCTGACCTTACAAAAAAGACACATAGATGGCAAAACTTGTATTCCAAACTTACTCAAGATTTCTGGAAATGGCACAAGCGAATTCCGCAACTTCCACATAAAAAAGGAGATTCGCAAAGGAATCAATTTATGCCAATAGTTCTTAGAGAAGTTATCCTCCAATCCTCTCTTCCTTAGGCTCAAATAGGTACATTTAATGGTGAAAGATCCGGAAGAAGAATTCTGCATTATTAACAAGTCACAGCCTGGTACAAGTGTTTCATCAGAATGCTCCAAAGTCCGCAACACTTCCAAGGGTAACAAGTCCTGCAATTCATGCAAATATAACAATTTTTTATTTATGAAATCTTTAATGGTCAAGTCCGGAATAGGGGGATTGTCATTCAAATCATTCCATATCACCCCCATAGATGTCCAGTTTTCAAACCAGAAAGACCGATCTCCCCCGTGAACTAGAACCATTGAGCCTTGGGACGCTTCCTCATCAATTTTCATGATTCTACTCCAAGATGTTCTCTCTCTTGCTGAAATCGAGAGAGAAGAAATAAATTTACTCCATAATCCACTCCGCTGCTTGAACTTCCACCATAATTTACATGAAAAGGCGCACGACACATCATCAAATTTCTGCAACCCAAGTCCATTTTCGGAAGTAGGAAAGGTCAGCCGGTCCCAAGCTCTCCAATGCCTCCTCTTTTCTTTGTTCCCCCCATGCCATAGAAACCGTTTACATTTTCTCTCCATTTCCTTCAACACATTTACTGGGGAAGGAATAGCTGCCAACACATGAATCGGCACTGTCGATAAAACGTGTCGCAAAAGAATTAAGCTCCCACCTGGTAACTTATTTTTCCAGCTAGCAATTTTTGAGTCTAAAGAATCCAAAAGGAATTGAAATGAACTTGCTCTACTCCTTCCATAGAATAAGTTGCAGCCAAGGTACTTAAATGGAAAAGAGCCCTTAGACATAGACAAAATTCGCTTTATGATTCCAACCCAATGAGCACTACAATACTCAGCCACCAAAAAGAAACTTTTACTCCTATTCATTCTTTGACCAGAAGCTACTTCATATGCTTCGAAAAATTTGGTCAACTCCTTCAATTGCCTTGCTTCTCCCCTTGTAAAAATAATGAGATCATCCGCGAAGCTTAAATGTGAAACCCTCATAGAGCCCGCCGGTGTTCCATATGCAGCAACTTTATTCCTCCTAAAAAGATCATTCAGCTTCCTAGACATTGACTCTGCTATCAAGATAAATAAGTAAGGTGATAGTGGATCTCCTTGCTTTATTCCACGAGTCGATTGAAAGAAACCTGTTAGGGAACCATTCACCATTACCAAAAACCAGATGTTCTTAAGGTTATTCATAACCAAAAGAATGAACTGACTCGGAAACCCTAACTCCTTCGTTACTTTTTCCAAGAACCTCTAAGAGACCCTATCAAATGCCTTCATCATATCAATTTTGATAACAACATTGTTTCCAACTGCCTTATGGTTTATGAATTGACAAAGATCTTGAGCCAAGACAACATTGTCAATTATATCTCTCCCCGATAGAAAAGCAGATTGCTCCTCAGAAATAATTTTTGGCATTACCAACTTCAATCTTTCAGTAAGAATTTTTGTGAGAATCTTATTAAGAAAAATGCATAAACTAATTGGCCGGAAATCAGAAAATGTACTAATCGAAACCTTCTTCGGAATTAAAGTAATCACAGTACTTGCCACTACCCTCGGGATTGGAGAACCGTTCATAAAATCTTCACACGCAGCTTTAAGATCATCAGCTACCCAACATGACTTATAGAAGCTCCCTCCAAACCCATCTATTCCAGCGCACTTTCTTCAGCAAGATTGAAGACCGCCGACTTGACTTCTTCCATTGTAACCGGGCCAATTAACATTTCCTTCTCCTCTAAGCAGAAGTCATCATTTAGCTGATCAAGGAAAATTTGTTGCTTTTCATTCTGCTGCAAATGAGGTGAGTCCTCAGTAAGGAGATGCTGAAAAAATTTGACCGCCTCTTTTTCGATTTCTCCCAATTCTGTTAAAGTCCGGCCATCATCCGTTTGTATCTTTTATATCCCCATTCTCATCTTCTTTTCAGCAAGAGAAGCATGAAAATAGGCAGAATTACTATCCCCTTCCTTTAGCCATCTTAAACGCCTTTTTTGTTTCGATAAATAGTCTAGTTTTATGTGGCCAATCAAGTATTTTAGTAATTAATAATTAATAATGTAAAAAGGTCATTGTTTGTTTGCTAATTATTAGAAATATCATTACAAGAAAATAAGACTTATCAGTATGATTCATATTGCAAACTAAATTAGACTAAGTTAATGTTTAAAGAATTTTCAAAGTCAATGTAATCTCTTTTAAATTAAATCATTTAATTAATTAGTAAATTATTTGTTAATTTTTTCAAATTGAGAATTTTTATATTTTAATATTACGGTAATTTAAAATTTAAAAAAAGAAAATACATTTTTTTAAATCAAATTAATTTATAGAAAATTTTATATTGGACAATTTATCTGATCAAATAAGTGTCAATGTTAAAATAGAACATGAGTAAATTAAAAAATAAATGATTAGTATGATAAAAAATGGTATGAAGATTAGACATAAAAAATGTATAAAAGTTTAGAATCCAAAGGAAAGTAAAAAGAATAATAGCTTTTAGGTGGGTAACCACAATCCCAGAATCTTGCACTTATTTTCCTTGACTTTCTTTGACTTTGGGAATCTTTTTACTTTCTTATAATTAAACAAAAAATGAAATTTAATAATTAGGAAAATGATTACTTTCCTGAACAAACCAAACATAAAAATTTAAAAATAAGGAAAAGATTACATTCCCACTTAGATACCAAGACAACCAAACAGGCCCTTAGAGTTAAATAAAAAAACCAACTGACCTTCTTCGAGTTGTTTCTTT